TGTCTTTGTGTGCTTTTATTGATTCAGTAAAAAAAATTTAGAAAAAACTTTTTTTGTGCTTGTGTGAATTAGTTGGTCTGGCTAGCAATGATGAATATATTGAATCGTGAATTAATCCATGAATAGTGAATAAGTTGCATGCTTAGATTAATTTTTGTTTTTTCTTGTGAAATTTGATATATATTGAGCACATGAATTAAATTAAGCATTGTGTAGGAATGAGTTGATTTCATAACTGAAAAGGTTGAATTAGTGGACCATAGATACTAGACTCAAAAGCACTAAATTCTACATTTTTAGACCAAATTTAAAATAGTTTGTGGGGATTTCACTGTTGTAGGAAAATGTTGAGATAAATAGAGATTTCATGTGTAAAATTAAAATCTTATGTGGATTATCTAAGGTCAATATGATGCAATGGGGTGAAAATCTCAAGTTAGATGTCGTTTTACTTGAATTTGTGTTAATGAGGGACGTTACACTAATCAAGGTATAAAAAATATTTTATTAGAAAATTTCTTTTCGTAACCTTTATGACTCGAGCAATTAAGCATGTAAGGATCTTTAAAATCTAGTGCCCTATGATCATCTGACTTGGGAGTCATCGACAGAAAACTTGTACGTGGGTCGTTTAGAAAGTTTAAGGGATAGAATGCTTTAAATAAAGAAAAAAATTATTCTAAAAAAATTTAGAAAAAGCAGGTGCATGAAACATAAGACGCACCAAATGTTTTCGTTAAGTTTAAAACATTTGTTTAAGAATATATGAATTTTGATAAGAGATTGTTCGCCTAGTTAAGTTGTAGAGATTGAAACCATTCAAAGTTAATGGAGAATCCTTGTTTATTGAAATATTAAACTGCAATTGGAGAAAGTTTGCCAAGCTAGAGAGGTGATGATAGTAGAAAATACAATTTTAGTTCACACACTCGAAAAGAGCGAAAAGAATAAGTTTTGGGGTGTGCGAATCTTACGATTGATGAAAGAATATATTTGGTCATTGAGGGTCGGGAATTGAAACAACTTATGAATTCATAATGCTATGATTAATTTTTCACAAATATACGTCGATTTTGCATTGAAAAAGTAGATTTTAATTTTTGTATTGTGATTTTGAAGTTGTGCATAGATTCGTTATTATGATTTAAATCTCAAAATAAAAAGTCAGGTTAGCTAGCTAATCTTGTAGCTTTACTTGATTGACTGGCCACCAATTAGGTAATTAGCATTGCATGTTTGTGTATTTGTTAGGTTTTAATTTTGTTTGAGGACAAATAAAGATTCAAGTTTGAGGGTGTGATAAATGTATTTTATACACTTATTCGTGGCCTTAAATCATGATATTTTGTCTTTTGGATTAAATTTTGCTGAATCTATGTTATATTGTGTTTTTGTAGGTAAAACTTTATATTTAATAAAGAATTGAAGAAAAGAATGCAAAAGTACCAAAAATGGCAAAATTCAAAGAGGAAACCATAGAGAGAAAGGACGGAAAAAAGTGGAAACAAAGGAGGAAAAAAATTGCCTCAGGAAAAAAGAAAAAAAATAGAGAGAAAGAAAAGAGAAACGAAGGAAAAAAAAGGGTAGAGAAGGAAGAGAAAGAGAAAATAAAAGAAAATAAAAGAAAATGAAACGAAAATGCAAATACCAGAAAACAATTTTTGGTGTTATCTTTTCACTTTTGCGTGTTTTTATTTTTACAATATGAATAATTAATTTTCATATTACGGAAAACAATGTAGCCGACTTGTGATCCTTTATTTTTTTTATTCAAGATTGTTGTAATTTATTTATACGTGTTGATTTTATTATGAGTTTACTGCATTAAATTACCTTGTCAATAATTTGATAATTATGTGAGTCTCTTACTAATCGAGAGGTGAGTTTGAGATTTAGACTATACAATAAAATTCGACAAATTTGTATAACGTATAGAGATACATATACTAATTATTACGGTCATAATATGAATTCTTAGAACTGGTGTTTCATTTAACTAAAGTTGATTCACATAAAGATATGAAATTTAATTAGNCATCTCTAACCAATAGATGAAATTGTTATGCCATAATATTCATCACATATTTGAATCTTCAATTATCCGTTGTGTGCAATCTTTTTATATTTTCAATTAGTTAAAAGTAGTTAGGAAAAATAATCACAACCATCATAATTATTTACTCGTTTTTTTCAAATAGGAATTAGAAAAATTAGATTAAGTCCTAAAGTATAGTCTTCTAGGAACAATATTCAGACTCAAGTGTCCACTATACTGTTTGTTATGATATCGTACATTTGCGATATAAACAAGGCAACAAAAACAATAACTCAAAGAATGTGTATAGGCTTGAAAAATCATTTCTTCCATTTGAATAAATTCATTGATCTTTTCAATGGTGTATGGTTCGTCAAATTCTAACATTTCGAAAAATCGAAATTTTTTGAAGGTATGCACGACTTTTGCATTATGTCAAAAAAAAACCTTCATAGCTCAAAATACGAGTGTGGGTTCCATAAATCGTGTCTTTCATACGAAAGTGTACTGATAGATTTTTTCAACGGTATATGGTTATTCCAAAATCAAGCTTCAAGTACTAAATAAGACTCACCGGGGTTGGTTATTTTATAAAAATTAATGATCTTAATTCTTTGTCTAATTTCGGTATTCCAGTGAATAAACAACTATTTTTGCTTAATGTTATGGCATTCTTACAAATGGACAGCAAATAGAAGACTATTAGTTTAGTATGCATGAGAAGTACGATTGCCAGTTAAGTACGCGCATTTCATTGAGAATGCAGCATTCACGTGAATTTTATTTATGATGAAAGAAAATTTAGAAAGGGAAATGCTATATGTACATAGCATGTTCCATAATAGTGTTCATAATGGACACATGGAAATTCCCTATTGGGAGGTGCCTGTGGGCCCAAACACAACTCAAATAAGGGGTCTCTATGTGTCAATTATGGACACCCTTATGTATTATGCTATGTACCCATAGCATGTTCCATTTAGAAAATTAATGCATCCAAATGAAAATAAAAAATATTTAAAGACGTTAGAAAGGTCATACTAAAATTAGGAAAAGACATTTGAAAAGTAGCATTTTGTGGAATTTGATTACATAATGTATACAAAACAGTTTCAAATGGTTTAGACCAATCCATATCACAACCGTATGCATTCCAACAAGCTTCAATGCCTTTAAATTAACATAAATCCATTTTATTTCCATATTCAAAGGTCTTCTTATTGTTTCTATTTATCAAACCAAAAAAAAGGTGGTGGTGGCCATATTGAAGACTATGTGGTGGTTGATTGTGGTAGCTTTGGTTTTTCAAGGCTCCACTATGAACGGGGTAAAAGGGTCAGCACAGGCGACCGCGTTGTTTGTGTTTGGAGACTCATTAGTAGATAATGGAAATAACAACTTCCTCAACTCCATTGCTAAATCAAATTACTATCCATATGGTGTGGATTTCAACAGTGGACCTACTGGCAGATTTTCCAATGGAAGAACATTTGCTGATTATCTTGGTATGCAACTTGTTACAATATCTCAATTTAATTGATTCACAATTTTCTATTTTACGTATGTCACATTTCATCTATTTATTTCAGGAGATTTATTGGGAGTTCCTTCTCCTCCACCCTTTGCAGATCCCACCACGTCCGGAGCTAGAATCCTTGGAGGAGTTAATTATGCTTCCGCAGCTGCTGGCATCCTTGATGAAACAGGCCAACATTATGTATATAATTACTATTATTTATCATGATTCTGATACTATTATTGATAAAAAAATATATATATATTAATTGTCAACCATGTAAACATACAGGGACAGAGGTACTCATTAAGTCAACAAGTGATTAATTTCGAGACAACTTTAGGTCAATTGAGGAAGATGATGAGCGGAGCAGACTTGAGCCGATACTTGGCAAAGTCCATAGCACTAGTTGTTATTGGCAGCAATGACTACATCAATAACTATCTCCTGCCCTCCATGTACCCTTCAAGCTACAATTACCGTCCCCCTGAATTTGCCAACCTTCTTCTAAATCACTATGCTCGACAACTTGTGGTACATTAATTAACCTTCATGAACAATTACAGTACAACACTATTAATAAATTTCACAATAAAACCATTGGTTTGACGTTTCAGGCGCTGTACAGCGTGGGGCTAAGGAAATTTGTGCTACCAGGAATAGCACCCCTTGGATGCATCCCGAATCAACTAGCCACTGGACAGGCACCCCCAGGAAGATGTGTTGACTATGTGAATCAAATGTTGGGTGCGTTTAATGAAGGGCTCAAGTCGCTAGTGAACATCATGAACAATGGCACCCACCCTGGTGCCATGTTTGTCTATGGAAATTCTTATGGTGCCATTGGTGATATCTTGAACAATCCGTCTAGATTTGGATTTATTGTGGTGGATAGAGGATGTTGCGGCATAGGGAGAAACCAAGGGCAGATAACTTGTCTTCCATTTGCGACCCCATGTTACAACAGGAACCAGTATGTATTCTGGGATGCCTTCCATCCCACCCAAAAAGTTGATGCCATTCTTGCTCAGAGGGCCTATTCTGGCCCTCCTACTGACTGCCATCCTATGAACGTTCAACAGTTAGCTCTTATTAATTTCTGAAATGTTTTTATGTGCTGTCTTCTCAACTTTCTTTCTACCACATCCTATCCCATTTGCATTTCTCTCAATTGAAATTACTTAATCAATAGTTTGTAGTTATCTGATTGGATCATCAAATAAAACAGTTTGTATTTTGAGAGAGAAAAATAAGATTCTTATATAAATTAAAAGTTGATCCGCATTGCAAGTTTGTTTCGAGTTGGTTTCTTAACTTCAATTTGTTTCAAATTGACATACGTTTTTCTTTCCATTTTGTCTGAAATCGAGACCAAAATTAATGGTTAGTCTCACGTGGCTAACAGAATACTGCGTGACCCAACACTTTGATGATAAATTAATAGTAAGTTTGCTGCAAAATGAAAGGGAATAACCAGATCTGACCAAAGAAAATCAAACACCAAAATCAAACACCAACCACTTGATCTCTTGAGGGTTCTAAACTAGGGGCAATTGGTTTTACCTTTTGTTTTTTCCTCGTTCAAACCTTTTGTTTCCAATTGTTCTCGTTTGAACCTAAGATTTTTCATGTTATAATTAGGTCATTTTTCTTTGGGATGAGCAAGGAAAAAACATAAATTGGTTTTACCGAATAGAGAATCAGCTGGTTCGCACATGTTGTCTTTCCTCTATTTTTATTGCTTTTCAGCCTTCTAAAGAATTTTTTTTTCCTGGGGAGATAAATACAATTATGATGAATTTACGCGCTTATTCTAGCCTATTTATGGACACTCAAATCCTGACAAGGACAAGTCCAGTTCAGTTCTTTTATATAAAACCATGCGGTTGTCTAGAAGTCAACATTTCACCAGTTAAATTGTGTGGCCAAAGCTATTTTCTGATCTTAAATTACAATGTATCCTCCCTTCCATTTGACATTTCTGACACAGAAGGAAGAGTGCTTATGGATGATAGCTTTCCACGAAAGATTTCGTCCGCCCTTTTCGGGTCTGTCATTACTTCTTCCAAATGTATTGCAAATTGATTATCAGGTTCTCTTCGTGTTTCAATTTTGTATTTTGAGTTTTGATTTTGTTTTGTGTTTTGAGTGTCTATTTTGAAATTTTTGAAAATGTGTTTTTTTTGTTATTCTGAAAAACGGTTTCTCAAAACAGAAAAATGGAAAACGCGTTTATTTTGAAATTTTGAGTTTTTTTAATAATGTTTTATTCAAGAAATCTGATTATTCAATAAATTTTAATAGTTTAATGTTCATATAATATTAGATAACATAAAAAATTTGAAGTTAGTGAATCTTAAAATATTTTTTTCCTGATATAAAAAACATAACCTAAATTAAATTAGGCAAAACATGTCAATCGATACAATTAGAAATGGGACGGATTATGTCTGTGCCAAATGAACAAATAACTCTTATCACTTGTTTAAACCATTTGTGTATCGTGTTGTTAGAATGCTAAAATTATCATTTTATCTCGTTTAAAATTAATAAAAATGATGAAAAAAGTTTGGTAAACATAGTGAAATATTATATAAAATTGAATAATCATAATAAAACATTATATGAAATTAAATGACCATGACACTAAATATAAAATTAGTAATCATGATAAAATAAAATCAAATTAAATAACCATGATAACACCGAGTATAAAATTAAGTGTTCATTGATGAATTTAACGCTCAAATAAACCAAAAGAAACAAGAAAAAATTGAAGAACTAAAACAAGGAGTTTTAGTTTTCATTCGTGGATTCAAAGAAAAATGATACATATTCAACTGCTGAAGAGGTAGCCGAGGAAGTTTTCAACCAACTGATTATAAGGAATTTTGATGGTCGACCCAAAAACTGTCGAGTTCTCAATCTGGTTTTGCATCAGTTTTCTCAAAGCAAAACAGTCCAAACTAGAAAGTGTTTCGCCTATCTGAATGCTGAACAATGTAAATTTTCATTCAGAACAATGGTAAGTGCAATTGAAAGATATAAATGTGGAAGCTTTGTGCTGGAACTACTTTGGCTAACCACAATGAAGATAAGGAATCACGAGAAAATGAATTATTATAACATTTATCCAGAGAAATGCATTGTTATCTGGAACCAACAAGTAAACCATTGTATTTGGCAACTTGTGCAAACCATGCCTGACAATGGAATTACAACTGAATTACAATTTCGAAAATAACAGTAATCTGGTCAGACAAATATGGAAACGATAAATGTCATTCATACCTAATATCATCAAGTATTTCCATAAATCTTCTAGTTCCATCTTCAACCGGAGGCATTTCTACAGCTCGTTGTAGCCATCCAATGTCATCAGCAGAACCACGAGATGTAATTCAAGATCACAAATTTTGGAGAGAGCAAAATTATGACAAGGATTTTGGATCCCGTGAAAACTATGGCCGCAGTAAAGTATCTCCAACAAAACAAGTCATTGAGAAAAAAAAAGAAAGAATTCTATAATACAAAAGTACAAAATTTATGTCTAATATGCAGTCTCAACATACCATTAACACACAAGTAACCTTCTAAATATCAAGAACACGAAAGAAATTAACCAATACTCGACAGAAACAATTCCGACTCTTCAACTTTATCACAAAGACCAAGTGATTTCCATCCAGGAAGATGAGTAAAACTTGAAGATTATCAACTCACTTAAATTACGAGATATCCAAGGCCTTAAGGCTAGAGTTCTCTCCAATGAATATAGAGTCCAACACAGCAACCAAGTTTGCAGATCTACCTTGCCTCAATCCATCACCATTCACCAACACAGCAACCAAGTTTCTCAGATATTAATATCATCACAAAGATACCAAAACAGCAATCTTGAAAACGAAAAACAGTTCAGTTGAAATACTTTGAATGAAAAATAGTTCAATTTCTGCAATTGAATGAGTACCCAGTGTCTTTTGATGATGAATTTCAGTTCCCCCAGGTTGATTTTTAGATTGGAGCATATTTGAGTGTTCAATTGAAATGGGGTTGAGCGGCATTTCGTAAGTGTTGGTTGTAGGTTCATTGATTGGTAGATTCGAGCTAAATTGACGAAGACCCATATATGTATCTTGGCCGCCATAATGAGTAGGAGGTAATGGTAGTGGTGCACGACCGTGATTCTCAACGTCGGCGACGGAAGAAAGGGATACATTGTGCGTGGTTCGTTGCATTCAAACTGGGCAAGATCTTCCCACTTTCCTTCAGATTTTGGTATGGAATTGAAGAGTGGGATGAGGACATGTTGATGGTGTGGAAAACCGGTGGATTGTCAGGCGGTATTGTGGTTGAATTTGGAGCAGAAGGTGCCAGCTCCATGAGGTGTGGAACTATTGTTTGTTGAAGATGGCGTGGAGTTGTGCTGTGGTTCATTTTGCCCATTTCCGGTGTTTTCAACTTGGTTTGGTGTTTTGGCCTAAATACATCCAATATGACTTTTGGCCTGTTTTCCGTTTTGTGTACAATTTTTTTTTTTTTGTGTTTTCAAAAATTCGTTTTCGAAAATGGGAAAGAGAACGAGTTTTCACCGTTTTGAAAAATCGAAAACAGGAAACGGCCCGAAAACACCAAAGAGAACAGGCCTTTAATAATTGCTTTTCATTGAATCATTTCTTGCTACTGATAATATCTTAGGAATTAGTGTAATTGGATAAAGAATAATGCTTTTTGAACAATCCATGATTGACAAGGAATTTGACAATCCATGTTAATTCAAATTGAAAAAGGCGGAAAAGTATGTGGTGTTTAAAAATTGATCACTCAACCTTCAACATGTGGCACACTGTCAAACTTGATGGCAAAAAAATTGTACTTGTAACATGGTTGTTGGATAAATTGCAAACTTGAGACTGCAAAAATTTCCCCAGATTGCAATGTGGATGGGATATAGATAAGTCTCTCAAGTCCATTTTGAGACACATATCACACTTTTTACTTGATTATGGCATCTGTTGTGAAACAAACCATCGAATTGAGATGTTGAAATTATATGACAAATGATAATGAAATATATGATCAACCAAAAAATAATAAAGACAAGAATGTAACAGAGGAATTAAGAGATTTTAGTGACTCAAGAATAATGGAGAAGATAAAAAAAATTATAATAAATCCTATAATTCTAGTAATATATTTTTACACACTTTAAAATTGTATAGAAAAGCCTAATATTTATAAAAAAAATGTAGGGGATATCCAAACTCTCCTAATAGAGTTATTGATGAAGTATGATACTAAAAAATCGAGTCCAAAATAAATTACTTCAATAAGGAATTCGAGTCACGCTCAAATTCTAACAATCTCCACCTTGATACGAATTCCACCAGTGAATGAACTGGATTCTTCAATAATAATCAAGAAATTAATTTCTCCAACAAAACACAATACTCTACCTCTTTCAATGAATCCAAGCAGTACTCTGCAGAATTTCTTCAGATTCCCAAAATATTATAATGATTTTAAATTAATCAAAATGGGTTGTAACACACCCTAAAGTAGAATCAAACTCAAATGTTTTTAAAGAAGGTCCTTTGCTAAATTGTACACATTCTACTCCACTTAAAGCATGTTCAATAAAATCAACATCCATATATCATTTTTCATTGAATCCATCCCTAGCAATTGAATACAATGGCACCGCAAGTGATGGTGGCAAAGAAACATTATCCATATATCCTGAACTCCACTGAACTGTATTATTCAAATCCGACTCTTTTTGAGCCCTAAAGGTATTGTAACAAGCTGAATGTTCACCACGGTATTGAACTTATGCTGATTGACTCTTTTAGATTCTTCATGTCCCTACAAGATGTATAACTGAGACGTTTTATGTTCATCTAATACAACATGGGCACCCTTACATACCTTCAAATCTCCACCTCCACCAAAGAACTCATAATCTTTTGAATCAAGAATTGACAACGATATGAGATTCTTCTTCAAATCTGGAACATGTCGAACCTGGCCAAGTGTTCTAATTGTCTCATCCAAAAGTTTCAATATGACTATACCAATTCCAGTAACTCGACAAGAAACGTTG